TCGAAATACGTCTATTATTCAGAACTTACTTGCTCGGTACCATTAAATGTTAATATTCAAGTCACTTGGCAGTATCTCATGCCAGGTACGAGAAAATAAAAATTTTAAATACGTTTCGCAATTTGCCATAAGTATATATATGTATAAACGTGTAATGTAATAATTACATAAACTTTTGAATATTAAATAATGAATATTAAAAAATATTAAGTCATAAGCGGCTTTTACACAGGAGTTACAAATATTCAATATCAGACAATAGGATTGAAATTTTTATAAAACCATGATATATTCAAGAAAGTAATTATTTCATGAAATAAAATATTTAGAAGTACTTAGATCAGTGCTAATTAACCTGTTTTGACTCTCTCATAATCTCGAAGAAAGCTCGAAATAATTTTCACACGAAGTACAAGTTACAAGTATTTTGTGTTTTGTATATTCGTATAAAATTTCATGTTCCGTCATTGTTAAAATTACAGAAGAATAATCATTCAATAATAACTAGATTTTATTTGGTTTTTTATTTCAATGCGCAGAAATGAATAATATAAATCAAATATTAAAATCAGAATTATTATATTTGGAAAATCATATAATTCGCACAAATAATAAGTATGTAAAAAAATTATTTAAAAATATTAGATTAATTATGTTGTGAAGTTTATGTACTAACTATTTTCCTCCTACTTTTTTTATTTTTATAAAAACCTTTATAGGTATTCTTTTATAGAAATATTTATATCCTTTTTGAGATACCGATACTATATTTTCTACTTTATAGTCTCATTCTATTGGCTTGTTTCAATGTCAGTATTTTATTTATATGTCCATAGAAATTTTCAGAAAATGTAATAATAAGTAGTATTTTCACGTTGTTGTGCTTATGTTATTAAAATTATTCTCTAGTAGCCGCAATTGGTATTAAAAGAACCTATTATGCAGCATTCTATATTGAAATAGAATAAATTTATATAGAGTTCAAAATTAGCACATGTTAATTCATACCAACACAACGGCTTGTTACACTAAAACAGAGCGACGGATAGGTGCTAGAGAAAGTGGTGAAACTTCGAATTGCTAATTAACCTGTTTTGACTCTCTCATAACCTCGAAATAACTTTCACACGAAGTATAAGTTACAAGTATTTTACATTTTGTATATTCATATAAAATTTCATGTTCCGTCATTGTTAAAATTACAGAAGAATAATCATTCAATAATAATTAGATTTTCCCCAAAATTACTAGTAAGAGAATGAAAAAGAAAAGAAATTTGATTTTATATAACAGAAAGTATTTTTCTTTCCAATATTTCTAGTTATAGGTACTCCTACTGAAAAATTTGTGAAAATATTTTTAAAAAAGAAAAAATATACGCCAAGTGCATAAAAAAGATGTCGAATATTACATTCCTTTTAATAAAAAACGGGTGACTTTTAATAAAAAACGGCTAACACATTAATATAAAACATTTCAATCATAAAAAACATCTCACAAAAATAATATCGATTGACCGAAGCAATACAAATTCGATTCGAAATTCAAAATTTCATTATACCGCACTTTTGCGAAAAATTAAACGCCTCTAGAATTTATTTTACTATAATTTAAAATTGAAGCAGTTCTATATAAATTTGCTTGATAATAATGATCGATAATTATCGCGTTCATTCTGAATATGACTTCAAGTTTTATCAAAACATACTGAACGTACGACGGAGAGTCATGCAAATTTTAGCGTTCGCGCGAAGTGGTAGTTAGAAAATCTTCTGTGTGACGCGATAGAAATCAAATCTGCGTTAATGCCGCTTCGCGTGTTACACCGAGCCGATCCCGAAGAATAAAACGAGACCTGAATTGAACAAGTGACCGTGTTTTTCAATGATCGTCGAATCGACGAGGATATATCCGTCGTCGATGGCCTCGACACCCCTGAACCGTCGATCAAACTTTCAATCTACCACATCGCAGCATTGCCGGAGAGACAGTCCTCGCCGTTTAGTTCGATCATGACTTTCACGACTAATAAGCCAATTAAGAGAGACTACCGTGGCGAAATGTAAAGTCGTTTTCATTCAGCAACATTCGAGTCCCCAATCAATTACGTTTCCTCGCTATATATATGTCGAACCAAATCCTTCGTTTTACGTGGATAAAAGTGGAGTCGCTTGGAGAACTAATATATAACGGTATGTAAAAATCAAAGCCGTTTCTATGATTTATCGTTTACGTTTCAGAATATCCATAATATAGGGTGAGTTTTTTATTCATCGATTGATTAATCGCATTGTGCGCAAATATAATTTTGTTCCACTAAAGTTGCATTTGCGCATAATGTGACTGATCAATCGATGAATTAAAAACTCGCCCATGTATAACAGTATGTTAAAATATAATAGGTGTACAAAATATTAAACATGTAAATATTATAGTATTCTATATTATAGTATAAAAGATCATTATATAACCGTCACGAAATGAAAATTGTAAAATTATAGTTATAAATAAATTAACAGGACAAATTATTTTATCTAAGCATAATAATTTTTTATGATTTTAATAATGTTTGCATCACAATTATATGTATTTGATTACATTCTAATATAAAATTGCAATGTACGAATAATCATTAACATAATTATAAATTCGTATTTAACTTCCAAGTTTGAAAAAAAAAAAAAAGGAAATCGTTTTCATTGTACGCTTCCACATTTGCGGATAGGAATTCAAGCAAAGTGCGATTATAATGTCACAAGCGAGATCGAGGTGTTTATTTTCGAGTGGATAGAAATGATTATTTAATTACCCGCGACATGCAAATGTATATCGGGAAATAATAGTATTTCGTGATTTGTTAGTCCACGGCGTTACGAAGCAAAATTGGGAGGCTGCGTTTTATTAACGAGCGGCGATATGCGATCCGAACGACCTCGAGATACATCATCTCTCGTCGGCCATGGTTGTTGTCGTTTATCAAACCGTAAACTGTAGAGGATTTCATGATGGAAAGTCGTATTAAGAGAAAATACCGTACGGATGAATGGTGATCAATACCGCGCAGGAGACAATGCGAAAATGATCGACAGATCGACGGGACGGGCACATTTGTTTAATTTATCAGTTGCAGTTTTGAAAGCGGATCATTATCGCGATTTGTTCCCGCAAATTATTCATGAATTACCGTTGGGAGACATCATCCCTCTTTTTATTATACAGCGACAAGCTAACGCCGACGACTGCAAAAGCGTAACGTTTACGCCAGCAGCTAGTGGACAGCCGAACGTTAATTTGTTCGCTTGTTAATTTGATCAAGTTTTGAGGAAGCGATAGAGCGAATAATCGAAAGTAATGCCATTTGCAAGTGTAATTTATTACTCTGGCAATGAATAGTCGCTCGCGCGTAATGTTCTTTCGCGTTTCATATCGCGATGATCGTGCATTCGTATTATTTATACACAGCGGGAGTAATCAATCGCTAAATTTTATGTGTGCCATGAGCTAAACTAAATTCAAAAGGAAATTATTAGTTGTTTAGTTATATATTCCTTGTGTAATTTTCACGATTTTTTAAACCGTTTATACGAAATGATATCGCTTATAGTATATACGAATTTACAGACAAAATAGATAAATTTATTTGTAATTAATTTATAATTTCATCTGAAATTAAATTTCGAAGTCAATAACCTTAAAATATGATAAATTACAAAGGGATCATACAATCAAGAGAATTAACAGATTCAGTAATTAATTGATCACGTACGATCATTCAACGGATTATTGTAATGTTTAACGAGCTTACATTAGTGCCGTTGCAAAACCATAAAAGCAGAAATAAAATATCGTAATGTATATGCGCAAATGAAATATTTTTACCGTTTCGTAAATATACGGACTGAAAGTTAAATATATCATTCACGATGTGTTTTTTCATAACTTAGTTTCGCAGCTTTAGCTCTGCCATCGCAGATATCTTATTGATCACGCGATATGCAGGTCACGCCGAAACAAATCGCCACATCATAACGATGCGTGAAATATATCGTTCCAGAGATATTGCAACGCGGAGATATTAAAATTTACACGTACCGTAAAATAGGATTTTTTTTTAATGTTGCATTTTTTGCAATAATTGCGCAAATGTTTATAGAATTGTTTTGTTAGTCTTCTTTTTCATCAATGTGTTGCGATATGAAATATTGCATAGTGGAGCGTAATTATTATTTGTGCGTACAATATTATTGATTATTAATTTTATATACGTATATAATTAAATCCAATACAATTATTTCAAAACATTTAAAAATTTATATATATATATATACTTAATTATAAGTAATAAAATTGAAAATATTTTTTATTCATTATTCTTTAGAATATTTAAACTATTTTTTGATATAAGCAAATATTATATTTGCTATAATTTAATATTTCTATTTTGACATATTTCAATATATGCTTGCAAGAAAAGTAAAATAATAAATAAGTCGAATTTTTTTAAATTTTGTATTACGTACAAATTGTATTCTAAAGACATCGACCTTCAATCAAGGAAAAGTAACACAAGTTAAATTCAAGTACTTTTCAAAAAAAAATTACAAATTAAAATAGAAGTAGTTTTTAGGGATAACATATATAACACTAAAACAAAATTAATAATATCTACATTACTTCTAAACGACTTGAAACAAGCAATTTATAATCTAGTTAATTTACGTCGTAATAAATAATTTCAAAATATATAATTTTCTTTTCTCTCTCCGGAATAATTTTATATTTTTTACTTGCATTACTTTTCTGGCGATGTGTTTATGCACATAAAAAGTCAGAGCACAGAGAATAAAAGAAGTCCATTTTGATAAACAACAAACTCGGATTTTACTTTAATAACTCATCGAGGATGAGCGAGATACGTATAAAATCACGATAATGAAAAAGGTGTTGAATCTTTAATGAAATGAACGATTCATCACGCGAATATGACTGAATTTACTCACAAGTTGATTCGCCGTCTCCTCATCGGCCATTCCATTCCCCGGAAATATTTACCCATTGCAAGCTGAGTCACTGTTTTCCTGCTTCATTTCTCCGATTATTCGCGCATACACGAATCGATCGGGAAAAAAACGGCTGATCACGACGTTCAACGACCGGCTGCGTCTCGTGTGGCAATCCCTAGGCTTAAAACACATCGCATACATAAAACACATTCTCTCTCTCATTACATCGTTGAATGAAAAGAGATAGAGACGTCATGGCCGTCTTCCACGATCCCTCTCTCTTACCTTTATCGACCATTTTGATACACGGATCGCACAGTTCATTTAGTCCACGCCTTTGGTTTCTGACATTCGTTTGGTTGAAATTCGTGATTTCCTGTTCCTATTGCCTATGTATATACTTTTCAATGTGTTTCCGGCTTAACGCGATACACATCGATGCGTTCGTCATTTCGCCCGGTCTATTGCCTATGTATATACTTTTCAATGTGTTTCCGGCTTAACGCGATACACATCGATGCGTTCATTTCGCCCGACATCAACCAGTTTCGGGCAGTTTGGCCCGTTTGGCCGTTTCACGTACGCGGCAACTTCACATCGGTGCGCGGGCGGCGGGTCCAGAGACAACTTCGTGATGCGCGATGGATCGCTCGGGAATCCTTGTATTTCGGGAGTAATGCAGATTGATATCGCGCAGATTGATATCAATCCACATGTTTTCGATGTTCGATCGCTTTCAACTGAAAGGACAATATGAAACGACGCGTTTGCCCCAATTACGATCGTCGAGTTAATCGCTCTTGTACGCGGTATTCGACACTCCCGCGACGATAATGTCGATAATGCGCTATTAGATTTGATACTCCCGACACTCGTTCGCTTCTCACGGTTGATTGGCGAGATATGCGCGAGACGCGGAACGTGATCTCGAAATTCTTGGAAACGTTACACACCGAACGGCGAGTATCGCGAGACTGTACGAGAGGTGCGTTCCGTATCGCGCATGATGTGCATGATGCATCCATTGTCCTTGTTTAACGTTTGGTGAGCAACGAGGATAAACGATGCATTATGCGCATCATGCGAGAAACGAAACGCAC